AGGGGAAGGGAAGGGGAGGGGAGGGGAGGGGAAGGGAGGAGAGGGGAGGGAATAAGAAAAGAAAAGAAAAGAAGAGAAAAGAAAAAAGAAAAGAAAAGAAAAGAGAAAAGTATGAAATGTCAGTATTTAATTGAATCTTCTTTTCTCAAGACTGCTACTCTAAATAGCTTTGTTCCTTAAAAATGCTATAAAGGGTTACTTTCTCTCCATCACTGTTTGTTGTCTTAAGACTGTCCCCTTTAAGTGATCAGAGATGCAAGGAAAGTGAGCTAGATCCCTTGAATGGCTGGCATGGCATGATTCCCAACTCTTCCTTGATAACTTTCTCCCTTCCTCTCTGTGTTGCTGCCACATAGGCTGGTTTCCTTGCTGTTTCATGAGTTTGCCAGGCCAGCTCATGGCTCCCTCGGGGATTTTGCATCTGTAGTTTCCTTTGTTTGAAACAAGTTTCCAACAGAAATCTGCATGGCTCACTCTCCACTTCCTTCAGGTCTTGACTTAAAAGGCAACTTCTGAGAAATTCTTTGGCAAGCTCATCTATAAAATGCCCACCCCACACCCACGTTATACCTCCTTCTGTGTGTTTGACTTCTTCTTAGCATTTATTATACACATATTATATATGAAATTACTACATATATTGTTGTACTATACCTTTATGCTCTTCTTACTATGCATTTTACTCAATTATTATTATTATGTTTATTTTTTTCTGTCTTCTCCGTGAGAATGTAAAATGTACACAGATTTTTATCTGTTTTGCTCATTGCTCTAGTGTCTGGCACATAGTCATCCCTCAATAAAAAAATTTCTTGAGTAAAAGACAAAATGAATGTGCAGATTAGAAAAAGAATGAATAGTAGTATCATCAGAATTTTAGAACAGGAAGTGCGTTACCATAAAGTCCCTTGTTGAAGTTATTTTGCTTTTTTTTCTCATAGTGTGGGACAACTGCAGCTTGTCTGTCTTGCTCGCGCTTTGCTTCGAAAAACAAAAATTCTCATTTTGGATGAAGCAACAGCCTCCATTGATTTTGAGACTGATAACTTGGTGCAGACCACAATCAGGAAGGAGTTTTCCGATTGCACCATCCTGACGATTGCTCACAGACTGCATTCTATCATTGATTCAGACAGGTATGCTTGCTTTCTTCTCAGAACTACAACAATTTCTGCATAGCTAGATATTGGACTTACAGAACACACTAATTATTTGCCACTAATGAATGTTATCTGTGCTGGGAGATAAAAAATTTTCATGAATGGTATATAAAATATTTTTCCAAAACGATTAGAAGAAAAATTTAGTGCTCAAAGAATATTAGAAAACTCAATTTATTTCCT